AGTCGAATTTATATCCCGATCGGGAAATAGGCGATTAACCTTATAATAGGGATATACTCTTGATATAATCACATTTCTTTTCTGATGCGTAGACAATATATAAGTACACGAAAAACATGTTAATATGAAAGTAAGAAATTACATTAATCAATAAATATTTTTTGATATCCTGATCGGGATATAACGTCAAACTATATCCCGTTCGGGATATTAAAAAAATTTTGCCATAAAAAAAGATATCCCGATTGGGAAGCCCATCCCCAATGGGATATGTCTCCAACTGTTAGATGATGCGAAGAAACTAAGGAATAAACTATAAATTGATCAATAAATTTGTCTTTTCTCTGGTTAAGCGTCAGGGCAGCGCCACTGAAGATCGAATTACCGAATTATTTCGGTGACATCTGACGTATATATTCTTAACGGTGTTAAGAGAAAAGTTGCAGAAAGTTAGTCTAGAGGATTACGCGTGTAGTATAAGGGTCAGTTCAAGTTTCCAAGGCTTGAGCTTTTCTGTAACAAAAAAGTGGTTGAAACAAAATTTATTAGTACAAACAAGTCAAGTTTAAAATATCAAAATTATAAATTGCTTCTATCTATCATTGTTAATGATTTATATAGTATTTAGATGAACATTCTAATTTAATCATCAATTTTATTTAAGGTCAATTTTTTATATATGTAATTTAAATGCGACAATAGGATAGACTTGTTATAGAGTATTATTAGTTGTCCAATCTTAGTTTGAACAGCCAATATGTAATCCAACGTAAATTCTAAGTACATTACTGATATATGTAAAGAGACGATTCGTTGATTGGACGTACATACTCTTTACATGTATACAACATTCAAGGTGTTAAATTAAGGTCCTTCTTTTTCTTCTTTCAAACATAGGTAGTCATGTTTTGTTTTTCGTAATTTTTTCTTTCTATCCTGAGAAATCATGTATAATTTGTTTATACTTTACGCCTTGAGTTCATGTACTACACATAGGTTTGAGTAAAACAGGTTTGGTTCTTTTTCCTAAAAAGTAATTGTCAAGTATATTAAATATCGGAATCATAAAGAAATATATCTATACGAGAGAGAAAAGTGAACGCTAAAAATATTTATCAGTTCTTTTTACGTATTTATTCATAAGTAGATTGTGCGGTGGCAGAAATACAAAAAAAGAAGGATTTATGTACGTAAAGGTGATAAAAATGTTGATTATTTCTCGAAATAGGTGTACAAAGTGTTATGTTGCATACGTTAGCAGAAGTATTTATGTCATTTCTTATACTATACAAATATAATTATTGTCGTAGTAGGGAGACTTTTTTTGAGCGTACTTGTCCAGCGTGTATGGGTTAGAGAGACTGATGAAAAAAAGCTCGAAAAAACACGCATTTTCACCGAAATTTTAAAACAAAATTCCTAAAATACTAATAGAATGTCGAATAAGTATTTTTATACTAAGTTGAAAGAGATGCAATCAGTTGAAGTATCAGTGTTAGTCCAATTTGAATAGAATCTAGAACTAACTTTTTTTTTCTCAGCTGTAAAGTTTTTATGCTACTACATCCGAGTAGAGCCCTGCAGGTTAAACCTAACCTAACCTAATCTATAGGTTAGGTTAGGTTTAGGTTATGAAATTTTTATAGGTTAGGTTGCAGGTTACGTCATTGATAAAAAACCGATTTTGAACGACCACATCAGAACAGTCAACACTTTCAGTAATAAAGCGTGGTCCGAGTCGAATTTTATCGATTGAGGATGAAATTCAGACTGAGATTCTCTAGTTTAAATTGAACTATTTTTAAACTGAAAAATAGCACAATCAAAACAGGAAGTACAGAGAAAAAACTTCCGTTTGCTAACAATAGATGGCAAATACACAACAATAACAGAACCTTCGTAGCATCGAGAGCCTAAAGTGGAACTCTGGTCTACTCTTAAGAGGGTCTCCCTATCCAGAAAGCTTGTATTCTTTAAATGTTTTTTATTCTTTAAAAATTGCATTAAAGAATAAAAAGATCCGACCGATTCCTTTCTATATTCATGTAAAATGGGATTTATTTTATATAAGCTTACCTTTCAGACGGTATTTAGATAAAAAAACAATAACGATCTGGAACAAAGCTGAAATTTACGCTTGCATTAGCGGAAAATCAACTTTTTATACAGGGAATAGAATCGATCCATATATTTTTTCTGAAGAGCTTATTATATGAATCGACGGACAGCAAAGTAACTCTTGATTCAAATCACTTCTCGCATTTTGGCGCGAATAGTAGCGCCACTTAAAACGCGCTACTATTCGCGCCAAAATGCGAGAAGTGATTTGAATCAAGAGTTACTTTGCTGTCCGTCGATTCATATAATAAGCTCTTCAGAAAAAATATATGGATCGATTCTATTCCCTGTATAAAAAGTCGATTTTGCGCTAATGGAAACCAGATTTTGGGAAAAAATTGCAAAAGGTTGTATTAGGAGGTTAACCTAGGTTAGGTTACGAATAACACTAATAGGTTAGGTTATAGGTTGTCAAAAAGTCGTAACCTGCAGGGCTCTACATCCGAGCACTATACTTTTTAAAAGAATCTCCTCTATTGAGTGTAAAAAAATATATTGTCAAGTTCAATGTTTTTTCTCAAAATTAAAATGAAGAAACAGCTCAAGAATCATAATAAAAAAGGAAACGTGAAGATTAGTCTACACGCATTATGAAGGAGAAGAAGAATCTTGCATACTTGGATAAAGCAAGATTCTTCTGCTTCTTAAAAATGCTAGAGGACTATTGATCCATTTTCTTTACTGTAAGGATTTTTCATGTAGTCGATTAAGAAAATCAACTTGTTCTTTTAGTAGAATTATTTCTAATGATAAAAAAAGGGCATATAGAAGTTTTGCTATTGATTTTACGGATAAACGGTCGTTAGTTCTGTTATGTTCATGTTAATCTTATGCCATGTGTCTAATCTAGAAACATTGACATAAATTTCCTTCGGGACAACTAGATTGGTTTGAGTGTATAGTATGTGTTGTTGTCAAGTTTGATTGAAAATTTTTTTTTAAGCTGTTGTCTTTATCTACAAAATAGAAACGTTTACTTATTTTAGACTTCAATATTGTTGGTGTGTCGTATAGGCTGTGTGTTCTTGTTCTTGTTCAAATACCATCTTCATATACGCTTGACGAATCATTGTTAACATCGATTTTGTAATTTTAAAAATTTCGTACTTTTGTTCTCCTGAAAATTGTTAGAAAAATCCTGAAATTTTTTTGATGCGTTCGTGAAATTCCTGACTGAAAATCTAAATTTTAGAATGTCATCCCTGCATTAGGTAGATTTCGAACAGTTCATTGTAACTCAAAACCGCTTAGTGTGATAGAACTTGAAAATTTTAGCGAAAACAGGATAAACATACATGTTTTTATTGTCCAAAGGAAAACGAAAAACAAAATACATAGCTATATATATCAAAAATGAAGTTTGAACTTTGATTTTTCCACTCGCAAAACACTGAATGGTATTCTTTTTATTATATCTGGAAAGCATTGTGTGAGAAGTATCTTAGCTTTTTTGAAAACCTTTACCTTGTTTAACTCGACTTCCTCCTAAACCATAAGTCATATTCTGTTCAAATTCATTCTTTTATAAGAATTTCGAAAAATATTCAATCAAGCCAGAACATTTGATTCTTGCATGATATTTTGGTATGACTAACCATACACATGTTATTGATATTTATCAATCTTCTTTAACGATAATGCCTTTTAGGTTTTGCCATTCAAGCTTATGATTTATTTTTCTTTTCGTCTCCCGTTTACACATACATCATAAAGATTTAATTTTATACATGATCAGTAAATAGTACATGTTATTTTCTCTCTTTATTATTTTAATTTTTGTACCTTCCAGTCTCTGTACACATTTATTTGGTTATATTTCATTGAATTAACCACTCTCAACTAGAAAACGGTATCAATCTGTAGTTTGCTCTTCAAATTAGTTTTTTACTGTTTTTATTGCCAAAAAATGTAATGTTTTGTTCATCTGCTAAGTAATAAAGTATGTTCAGCAATGTTAACTAAAGAAAGATTGAAAGAATGTAAGCTAAATCAGCGTTTATTTTTGTTTCTGAGGATAATCTGAAGGTGCATCGATATAATTGAGTTATGTTAAACATTGGTAAGATATTATATTAATCTCAGTTACTGAAATTCTACTGTTTAGCTTCTTAAAAACTTACTGTACTTAGGATGTGACACTTAATACAATAGCATTCAGAGAGTTATTAACGATGGATAGAAAACAAAGCTAATTTAAAGAGGAGAACTTTGTAATAGAGGAAATGTGCTGAAGAATAGTTTTTAGAGTACGTAGTGATTGTGTGGTATTCAGAGAGAGAAAGAGAAAGAGACACTTGGACCAACAACTACTCCTCAGCTTTATGACAAACAGTTTTTGTTACATAGTCAGACATTGTAGATTTTTAGCACTATCTCTTTTTAATAACCTTTGTTTTTAATAACAACCTTTAAATCAATCAATTTTTTTAGGTTGACGGATTTTGTCTTGAGAAGGGAGATAAATGATAAAAAGTTCAATAACGAGGAAATTGCGTGTTCGTTCGATAAATTATTATTTCTGTACATATAACTGACACCTGTGTATGTAGCTGAAATATGAAGACAGGTGTATAACATTTCATATTTCTCACTTTCTTTTGAATGTGCACAATAAAAGTGAATGTACTTTTTCTATGATATATAGCACACATGATAGAATGACATTTCTTCTTTGTTCTTTTCTCTATGATATTTCTTTCTTCCCTGTTGTTTTGACAATTCCGATGAATCAGTCTGACACTTCCTAACAACGATGTAATCACCAAATCAGTTATTTTTATATACAAAGTGTATGCAGTATCTTTTCTTTTCAGGTAAATTATCAGAGAAATATTGAGTCTATAAAATAATTTAGAGTTTTTACCAAAAAAATGTCCAAAATGATGTTACACCCAACCGATTGTTCGGTCACTGGTACGTATATAATTTATCTTATCTTCTAGACAGACAGAAGCAATGAAAATGGGCACTAATCAGATTTGACTGATGAGATATACGTTATAGGGCGTGGTAACATTCGGTTTATATCTAAACTACATACAGTTTGTATTATTAAACGAATTCAACTTTTAACAAGCTATCTATATCTCTTATTGTTTCAATTGTTTCGATGGCATTTGTTTTCTTTTAGTACATAAAGCAAGAAATTTACTGGACAAACAGAAAGGAGGTAATGATGTGTGTGTACGCTAATCTAATGCTTGCCTCTGTAGTTTCTTTTTAATTTGAATTTTGTTTAATTATAGGTATCGATGCCTTTTGTACAATTTCCATGGGCAAAGATAAATTTCTCACAGATGTACGACAAAAAACCTGTTCACCTGATTGGCAAGAACAATGTGATATGTTAGTAGATAAAGAAAAATACAATAATTTCTGGAATTTTTTGTATGTCTCTTTGTTTGCTTACTCAGGCCAATATCTGAAGATGCTGTTGTTAAAATCACTGTTTATCACAAACATAAAACGGCCTTATCAAATGAAGATTTTATTGGACGAATCTACATAAATCTAAGAGATCTACAAGACTACGAAAAAGTACACACAAAGTATGATCTGAAGACGCATAATTTTTACATTTACATTAAAACTGTGATTTATTCACTTTTAGTTGGTATAAGTTAGTAAATAAAGATGGTAAATTTGATAAAGATCGGTAAGATGACACACATTTGTATCATAGTTATTCAAAAGATGTTTAACGTTATTTTTAAGGGGAGAAGTCGAAGTGACTATTCAATTTTTTGCCAAAAATGGTGCAACAGGAAGTGTATTAGATCTTAGTACAAAGAAAAAACATCTATCATTAAAAGACATCAAACATTCATTAGGTATATATATGACAGTAATTGTCTAATAACAATGTTTTCTTTTAATCATCTTATTTATTTTATGTAGGTAATAAACTGAAAACAGCGAAACAAAAGAAAAGTAAATACAGTGCAGAAAATCAGGTAAAGATCTCAGTTTTTTTGTTGAAACCCCTAGTGACTGACATATGCCTTGTCTGCATGATGCCAATGCTTGTTTGTGTGTATGTGTATGTGTGTGTGTTTTTGTATCATTTTTCGTTTTCGTTTTCAGTTAGCTGAACAGCGCAGTCGATTAGGTGGCGATGGATCCCAATCAGGTCGAGATTTTCTGGATGATTCTGTATCAGAGGTACGTGTGATTCTCACACTCATATTTACATAAACACTCGAAAGATTATTCACAGTACTTCTTGATGTTAATCGGTCGTAGATACTTCTTTTTGATTTCTTGTTCAAGTATCTAATAATTGCTACTTTTCTTGCTTTGTTTCCTTCTTTGTTGTATGGCAATCTAACTGCTTATTTTTAATTTGTGACAATAACTCACACTGTGCGATAAGTACGATAGAACTTCTTGTTATTTTCTAACACAGACAAGTAGGATGTAACGGTTATTTCTCAAGAGTCATAGGTACAAATTTTGGACTTGAATAATGCACTCGAACATGCGTTTATTGTCTCACGTTTTCATCGCTTATTCTTGCTATTACGGCAGACTTTATTTCAGCCTGTTTAACTGGAGACGTATCAGGCAGATCATTTTCTCTATTTGTTTTTTCTTATTATGATTTTTTTATCTCTCGTAGAAAGAGCATCACTGTAATAGATGTAGTAACGTAGCCACTGGGTGGGCTCAGCCCACCCACTAAAAGTTTTATAATTCACACTATTCTGCGCTAATGTCTACCACTTTGAAAAAATTTGACACAACGCCCACACACTAACTAAATCCTGGCTACGGCACTAAATAGATGATTTGAGATGTCAGAATCGAAATAGTTTATTTTGCAGCTTTTACTAATCTTAGGATTATGCAAGATTCAAGGCCTGATTATGCCTTCTGCGTTTCGTTAAGTATACTGTCCGTTTATCTATTGGATAAGTTCTCAAGGACACATTTGGATACTCACATAATAGAAAAACGGATAATATACGTATTTTTCATTTTATTTCTTTGCAATGTTTAATTCAAGTTTTGGATTAAAAAGTAGATCGGTTAGTTCTAAAAATACGAGAGAAAGCAAATGCAAGCACAAAAATAGAAAAAGAAAAGAATTAATATGCTATTGGTGAATTGTGGTACTTTCGTCACACCATCCTATTGTCATTATGACAAAAGTTCCTGTGTGGGGAATACTCCTCGGAAACTGACGGCATCAAAGTGTAAATTTCATCACACCAAAAGTTTCGTTGCATGAGACGAATTTTCGTCACAGTAGTGTAGAGCTTTCACATTCACCGCAACCGCAAAATAAAGCGTTGCAAGATACACAAACTTTCGTCGCGTATAAATAACGTTATGCGACGGGGATAGAAACGATTCTATTGTGTATCTACAACAGTGGCGAAAGTTCCCATACCTTGCAACGCTTTATATTCACGTTACGGTGTATGACGAAAGTTCAGCAGGAACCGTTAAAAAACACGGCATTTTCGTCACGTTAGGTGAATTTTCGTCACATCTACAAAAAACACACCGACATTCACGAGAACTTACGTCACCATCCTTTTTCTGATAAACGCACTTTCGTTACATGTGACGCAAGTGCACCGCTTCCTATGACGAAGGTGCGTTGTGATGAAAGTGCCTCTTACTCTAGTGGTCTCTACGGCTTGTCTATGTAACTCCTGTGGTAGAGATGCCGCAGCGTTACTTTTTTGCTCATTTTGTTTCAACTATAACTTCGAAACTAAAAGTCGCGGAGAGTGCACCGCTTCAATTCTTAAAAAGCAGGTTTCAGCATTCGATTACAGTTTTATGAGTATAGCTTTTCTAAAGGCTGAACAGATCTCAAAATGTAGAAACTAGTTTTTTCTATAATTTAAAACGTCTCCGAACTGTCTGCGACTTTTAGCTTCGGAGTTATAGTCAAAACAAAATGAGGAACAAAAGTAGCGCTGTCATTGGAGTTACGTGGACAAGCCATCTAGTCTAAAAAGATCTCATGCAATAATGGTAATGATGATCAACGATAATACAAGATAATTATTTTGTTTCTATGAAAAAAATTTCTTAATCAAAAATCGAAATTTAATAATCAGTATAATAGTTCATTGCACATGCACATTTGATTTACTAACTTTACTTTAATCAGACACTTCGTAGTTATTCGATGTTTTTTTTACTCTTCTAAATATGTTATTTTGTTTAATTATTTTATTCTAGGGTACAGCCTCATTTGCTGGCTCTCACATGTCATTGAACAGTGCATCATTTGATGATCGACCAAAAAAGGTATGTATTTGCTTACTTGTTGATTATTAGTATCATTAGATATCAAAAAGTTGCGCAAGATAAACGTGCAAGCAACTCTCAATTCACTTTTGTTTGTAGACGATGTCTTTAAACAGAAATAATGATGTAAGTTTTATTGATTTTATTTTGTCAGGATTATGTATATTAACAGCATGCTATTCTTTTATCCTTTTCGCCCAAACTATCTATCCGCATGCCCATATTTTGTGTTTTTGTAAATTGCATGGTGATATGTAGAAATAAAATTGAATTTGTTATATAAACTTGACATCATAATATCAATATCATCAAGTAACCCGTTCATTTCCGATTTTTGTTTGAGTTAAATTTCTTTATAAGTCTTAAACGACGCAAGATATTAACATGCGGTTTTCAACATTCGATAGCCAATACTTTAAGCTATGTTTTCAT